CAACTTCTTCATGCTTTAATACTTTATACACCACCTGTTCATTGGACGATTGAATGTGCCTAGTAAAGTGAGGTACTTTGTATAACCAATGGCTCTATCTATGATACGGATGACTCCTGCATAGAAAGACCCGTTGGTTCAATGTAAGTACCCCGGCTAGATCTTCATGAAAACCTTTCAATCCCCACCATTATTACGCTTTATTTAGAGACTAGATCATTAATGTCATGGTTGGATGCCTTGTAGAAACACTTGCTTGTTTGTAGACGAGTTAAGTCTCGGCACAGACAATTCTTGTAAACTTCTAGTAAAGTATCGGAATCATGTGCTTAATTCTCACAGTCCATCTTTATCTTCCGATTAACTTGTTGTTGACACGGGAATTAATTGAGTTATAAAGCACAAACATAATAAACGGATATTCTATTACATGTCCTAATCCTAAAGCTAAAGGGTGGCTGTTACATTTTGAGAATCTTATATTTTGTCTAGAAAACTCTTGAAAAGAATGTTTTATTCTATTAAAGAAAAATCCACTACTCCAAACACTCAAAATTTCCAAGTTACTTAATCTCTATTATTGCTTACTTCAAAACACCAATTATAGTTCCCTGTGGATTCGACTCCGGACTTCACTGGATTATTACTACAACTTGACCGCCTGCACTTGGATTTACACATTTCGAATGAAGTCATTATTCACAATGACAATCTTCGACATGGGGGAAGAGTTATAGTTCCCCAGTCTCCGGATTTGAGTGAGGAGTTAATTAGAGAGTTTCATTACTCCCGTTTTGCTGTGCATCCAAGCCGCATGAAGATGTACCACGATCTTTGCCACCAATATTATTGGAGCTGGATGAAGAGACACATCGAAGACTTTGTTAGTAGATGTCTTACATGTCTACAAGTCAAGGCTGAGCACTGCAAACCTATAGGGTTGCTCCAACCTTTAGAAATGGTTGAGTGGAAATGAGAGCACATCACTATGGATTTTGTGACTCACTTGCCACGGACATCGCCTGGGCACGATGTGGTGTGGGTGATCATGGACCAGCTTACAAAGTCGACATACTCTTTGGCTATGCAGATGACCTTCACACTAGAGAAATTCTATAGATTTTATATACGGGTGATAGTCCAGTTGCATGGGGTACCATATCTATAGTGTAAGATCAGGATCCCAAGTTCACGATCCATTTTTGGGAGAGTTTCCAACGGACTATGGGGACACAGTTGATGATGAGTACAACTTTTCATTTCCAAACGGATGGTCATTCAGAGAGAACTATCCAGATTTTGGAGAACATGCTTCAAGCATGCATCCTTGACCTCAAGGGTAGTTGGGAGGAGCATTACCCTTAGTGGAGTTCGCCTCCAACAATAGTTATCAGGCAAGCATACAATTAGCACCCTATGAGGCACTTTACGGAAGGTCATGTCGTTATCCGGTTTGTTAGACGGAGGTTGGAAAGAGACCATCCACGGGTTCGGATTTGATCGGGATACCTTAGAGAAGGTGGATATGATACGGAAACATCTTTTTATGGCCTAGAGCCGGCAAAAGAACTATGTCAGCAAGTGGCGGTGACCTCTGGAGTTCGAGGCTGGAGATCATGTCTTCTTGAAGGTAAATCCTAAGAGGTGAGTGGTCAGGTTCGGGAAGGGAGGAAAGCTGTCGCCATGGTGGACACAGGTGCCACCCATAACTTCATTGCGCAAAGGGAGGTGGGAACATTTGGCCTACAATTGGAAGAGAACTCTAGCAAGCTCAAGGTTGTCAATTTGGGAGCAATTCCAGTGCATGGCAACACAGAGACAAGCCTAAAAGTAGGTATATGGGAAGGTTGGGTGAGCATGATGGCTATACCCTTGGATAACTTTGATGTCATCCTTGGGAACGAGTTCTTCATAAAAGCCAAGGTGGCGCTGATGCCACATTTAAATGGGATGATGATCTCAGATAAAGGAACAACATGTTTTGTTCCTGTAGAGGTGGCAGACCAAAGAAGAAAAGATGGCAAGCGAAAAGTGGAGATGATGTCCGCTATGCAAGTGGATTCTGGGTTGTAGGTAGGTGAGATGACATATCTCTCAGCCTTGATGGAGAATAAACCTAATGAGAAGGTTGAAATATCTGGTTTGTTGATGAAAATTTTGGAGGAATATGTTGAGATTATGCCTCCAAAACTCCTTAAGACCCTTATGCCCGAATGTGGAGTTGATCACAAAAACGAGTTGAATCATAGTGCAAAGCTTTCAGCCCATGTCCCTTATCGGATGTTGGCTGCGGGACAGCAGTAGTCACTTACTTATAGAGGAGTGTTGAAACAAAGGACTAGAGATTGATGTCCTGCTGCATACAGGGTTGATCATTTCAAGCAAGGATTGCTTGATGAGACCAATGACAGCTTGGCGAAGGCTGCCTGTCGAAGGAAGAAGTTTGTTGATCCTGATCAGAACAAGAAAAATCAAGACAACCTCTCGACAAAGACATTGACCTCTTCTGGTGTGGGTAGTTTGTTACCCCTTTAGCTTTTGGCTTGGCATTGGCATGGGGCTGCCTCGCCCAAAGGGGCCCACGTCCTAGCCAAATTGGGTTTTTCTTGGTGCAGCAAACCTCTAGTGTAAAGTTGGCTTCCTAAAAGACTTGTACTTGTGTTTTATTGGGTTACAAAGTGGTTTAACAAAAGCTCAAATGGCATGCAACGACTATGCCCCAGACTCAAGTCATTATGACTTCTCGGCTCAGAGTATGTCTATTGTTGTCAATAGGTTTCTGCTCACTAATGCTACTATGGGGGGTGATCCGCGAAGGGGGGGCAGGCCCGCTTCCCTAGGGACACTTCTACCCCTAATCCTTGGCACATGAAAGCAAGACACGACCCCAACAAATACTTGCCATAGGTGGACGTAAGGCATTCCAATGTCCCAGACCCAAGATGCGAGGCCGATAATCTGTGGGACTTGTTGGTGGAAACCCCATGCATGACTAAGGGAGGCAGCGCATGCATGGACACATTGGGCATGACCAATGGGTTGATTGAAACCCCATGCATTGCTGAAGGAGGTAGCATAGGCATGGGCACGTTGGGCACTACCAGGGGGTTGATTGAAGCCCCATTCATGGCTGAGGAAGGCAGCTTGTGCATGGGCATGTTGGGCACAAATAAGCATGCAAGCAAGGCTAGCCAGTGGACTTGACTTGTGGGGTAAGACTAACTTAGAAGACCAAGCCATGGGCTAGGCATGGATTGACATGAAGGCAAGGAAAATCAAGTGTTGTGGGCTCGCAAATACGGCATGTGCACAACATGTGAGATGATTCCAAACAATTGGGGCATGTGCACTGCAAATGATGTCGGTTCCAGACAGTTGCTAACATGTGCATGGCATGCAGGGCGGTTCTGTGTAGTTGCTGGCATGTGCATAACATGAAGGAGATGCTAGCATGTGCACACAACAGTTGTGGACAGTTGCTAGCTGGCTTAGCCAACAATTGCAACTTCCCCTTGCCATGATCAACCTATATGAAAGTGGCAGAGGGACTCAGCCATGGTCAGTAGGTTGTGGGTTGCTTTGTGAGCAAATCTAATTGTTGCTTTGTATTGCCTGGGCGGTTGGGCTTAGGGGTCCCTAGGGAAGTTGGCCTCGCACCCCTTCGCGGAGCACACCCCCCATCTCCCCCCCCCCCCCGCCCCCCAAAAAAAACCAAAAATAGGATTAGTGAGCAAAAACTTATTGACAGTAATGGACATACTCTAAGCCGAGGAGTCATAATGACTTGAACCTGGGTCATAGTCATTGCATTTCACTTGAGCTTTTACCTAACCATTTTGTAACCCAACAAAACACAAGTCCAAGTCCTTTAGGAAGCTAAATTTGCACTAAAGATTTGTTTCACCAAGTAAAACCCAATTTAGCCAAGGCATCTTTGGGCGAGACAACCCGATGCCAATGTCGAGCCAAAAGTTAAGGTGGAAACACTATTTGACACCAAATACACATAAGGTTTCGAACCCATTTGCATGGACTAATGTCAACCTTTTCAATTTCATGCAAACACCCTTGAATAATCTCGAGTTTGTGTTTGTGTTAATTTCCAGTGATAAAATAAAGCTAGAACGCCCATGCTTCGATTGCTTTCAATTTTGAATTCCAACACTATTTGATGGACGTCCAAAGCACATTTAAACGTTGGCATGGTATTTTGAATCATATTCGAAAGAACTATGCAAAATCCATCCAACTCGTTTAACAAATTAGGGCCGTATTGAAAGCTATATAGCCATTTATCCAACCTGTGTGAAGAGGCCTGGAAGCTGAGCGCACATTATACAACATAAAAGTTCCAAAGAAAGACCTAAGCAACCACAACTTAGTTTTTCGAGTCTCTCAAGTAAAAACTCCGAGAAAAACCTTGTGTTCTTAATAGAACCATCCAACTCCGACCAGAACCACATAGTAGATACAGTTGTATATTCCTTGGCCCTTCCCAAAGCATGTATTGAAGGGTTCCAAGGGTTTTGTTTCCTGAGTGAATCGGCGAGGAGAGTTTGATTGGATAGTGTTTACTGAGTGAATCCTGCGTGTAAGTGTTTGACTGGACAGAGAGTGAAATGGTTCGTGGTCACCCTTCCCCAATCACAAAGAGGCCTTTCCGTAGCAACACGAATAGCACAGAGATCGAGGGAATTGATCAGAAAGGTACAAGGGAATAAGTCATCTCTATTGGACAATGGAGTGAAGTGGATTTTAATAAAAAAAACGTAATGTATCTATTGCAATGCACTCATGTTGACTATTTGTCTAAACAATTCCATGGAATGGAGTATTTCTTAATATAAAACATAGTGTATCTAAACATTTCCATGAACATATGCATAGTGTATAATGTAGTCACAACAATCAGTTAAGAGTTACAAATTGTAGTGCAGAGAGAGAGACCTTAAAATTAATGTGCACTTCTCTAGAAGTATATCATGATGTCTTTGATTCCATCATAAAATAGCACACCTACCACTTTCGGCTCGCTTTCGAATCTCCTCAGTCTCTCTCTGAGCTCTCTCTAGGTTCTCTCTCAGCTTACGAATTTCATCATTTGACTTCCTTTGAGCTTCTTGAGCAAACTCTTCAGCCTTCAATCGAGCAGCTTGCTCTTCTGCCAGTTGCTGTTCAAGCCTGTATGTGGTCTCTCTCAACTTCGACTCGACCTGTGAAACAATATTAAACCATCAGGGCAAGAAATCATTGATTATCAAGCTTCCAACTTTTAGCATCAATGCACAGATTCTCACAAGAGGGGTTAATGTACTCAACATCTTAAGCACCAACTCCTAATTATTCTCTCTACACTTAAAACGCTACAGGTGGCAGAATCCCTATTATAAAAAACTGCCTACAAAATTTTCAGGACTCACCACAAGTCAGGAAAAATTCTTTGGCAACAACAACAGAATCTGAACCTGATCTGTGAGAAATATATGTGCCAGACACCAACACATCAGTGTCGTCTTTAGTTTTTCTTGTCGATACTGAGAACATATTTGTGGGTAAGGCTTCAACCTCGGGTTTTATTTAGGACGGGGACCACAAATCGTTAGGCTATAAAGGCCATGGTACATCAGCGTTCTTGTTTCCTTAAATTCCACCACATGATGGTAAAAGTATGGCCACCTGGGGAACAACCAAAATCAATATTATATAATGTCTCAGCATACGAGGTCAACCTTAAGAGCTGCCCATATAAGTCAAGAATCCAAAAGGATGCAGACAAAACATGGCCAAGCAGGTCTAAAACCCCTTTTATGAAAGCTTTCTGGCAGATTGCTGTCAAACACATTACAGTATGCCTACAGAATCAGTTTCCCCATTATGCTGTTAAATTAAACGCCATCAGCTATTCATTCTTTACATTTGAGTTTGGGAGGCCAAATTCTTAATTTTCCTGTGTCCAAATGTTGAACCAGTCATTTCCATGCTTCAGAATCATACTTGAAATGACTCAATTGTGCACATGAAATCTGCACCTATAGCAGTGTCGATCACATGTAGTCCCATAGGCTTACAACCAACTCATGCACACAGCATTAATGATTTACGTTTCCATTTTTTAGTTTTCTACCATTAGACATAATGAAGTGTATATACAACGTACCATTTTTGACAAGACCAACTAGAAATATTTATCATTAGCCTCAAGTATAAAACCTGTGAGCTGTGCATGAAGCTATTTCGTAAACACTGAAATCACAAACTCTCAGACAACAGGTTCCACAGATAGTCTATTTGATAGAAGGGAAGGATGAAGAAATAGAGAGGGGAAGATAGACATCCGTTATATGTTAGGAGTCGGCAGGTAAGGAGAGGAAAGCGAGGAGGTAGTAATCTACCCCGTGGACCTAAGGTTATCTTTCCACGCCATCTGCAAAAGGAAAGGGAGTGACAAAACCATTTGTTCATCGTTACAACAACATACTTCCTTTCATATACAAAAACATATGATGGCAAAATCACAAAACCTGTTCTTTTTTATCTCTTTCTTTTCTACTAAATCAAATTTGAGTAGGAGTATTGATTGAGCCAAGCCTTTCGAGCTTGGGTATGCTCAAGATTGGCTCAAGTTATTGAAGGGATGCTCAAGCTCAGCACTAGCCAAGTTCGAGCCGAGCTCGAGCCAAAACCAAGCTCTTAGTATAAATCCAAAATCCACAACCCCCAAATCTGATATCTCAATCTCGAATCAAAAATTTCACATAAAATCATATATTCCAGTTAGGCATGTCAATCGTTTCAGATGAAACGGGTTCGTGTAGGATCTTGACAGGATCGTATCAAAAAGCACTCCACTCATACCCGATTCGTTTATTAATTTGTGTCTAACGAGTTGTGTCATATCAGGTTCGTGTCGTGTATTTCTTTTGATTGGCTTCATCTATACCCGATTTGTTTATTAATTGTGTCATGTTGGGTCCACTCATTTACGAAATAAGTAGCTTAAAGAAGACTCAAATCCTTTAATTTCATGTCACATTTGTGTCGCGTTATCGAGTCGTATCATATGTTGATACCCCTAATTCCAATCCAAATAGAAACCCCTAACATAACAAAACTCTAAATCTCGACATAACGAACAAATTTAGTATACCACATAAATTAAACATTTGTTTGGGATTCCAGCTCTTAGGGTTAGGTGGGTGTTGAGTCGAAATAGGGCCCAAGTGATTGGATTGGGGAATGGTGGCGGTTGTGGGAAAAATCTCAAATGCGACAACAAGAGAGAACCAAAAGAAGAGTGTCTCACAATACAAAACAACGGGAGAAGAAAGAAAGAAAAGAGAGTAGAGTGGTTGAGGGGGCAGAGTCGGCCCAACAAGCAAGAAAAACCTATGTTTTGGAGCCTCAAAAAAGAGGGGCCACAAATTATATAATGATCCTTATAGTATTTACCAAATTAGGCCCAAAAACATTTGAAACAAAAAGGCCCAAATAAAGACAAATCTTTGACGGACCTAAATCATCACTCTTTATTCTTTTTCATCTGCCCACGTCACATCAATCACATAAAAAATTAGTTCTCTCTTCATTACTGTCAACTAACTCTAAAAATGTCAAAGAACATAAAATATTCATACCTACACATCTAATTCTTAAATAAACCTAAGACCTCTCTCTCTCTCTCTCCCCCTCAAAAATTTGACCCGGATTTTAAGTTTCTACATATAAAAAAGAGGACACCTACAAGTTACTAACTAAAATAAACCCCACAATCTGGCCTGCCATCTCCACTCTCCCCCATAATTCGTCGCATTTGATTATGGTACCAAATAATAATTTTTAGTATTAAATCTTTTTTAACTAACAAAATTGTTGAGTGTAAAATTTTTATTTTATTACCATAGATTAATTTGTTAGTTTTACAATCAATGGTTAAAATTAATCAAGTCAAAATGTATGCACCACATCAACTTTCCAATGATGTCGAAATTTTTTGGGTACCGTAAACTTATCTTAATTAATGCTTAATTTTGGAGTACCCTATAGTGACAAATTTTTTTTCTATGTATCAGTGCATAGTGAATTTTAAAAAAGGTATTGAGCTTTGAGTCCAAATATGGTACAAAAAAGTAATTTTTTGCTACCATGCTTTTATTTTTTTGTTCAATAAAAAGTGACCCTTATAAAGTTTTTAGATTGTATTAAATTAAGTTTACAACTACTAATCAATTTCAATTTGATACACTTAAAAAAAATTGAGGTACCGTATCCTTATTCTTTGCATGACATGATCAAGAAATATATTTTTTAAACAATAGCATAGTGTTGTTATATACACTTATAATAAATTTTCAAAGAGCCCTATGTGGAAGACAACACTAACTGACTAGATAAAAGTACTAGCAATCAAGTTTGAGCTCGAAGGTTGACCCAACCAAATAACAGTGCTAGCAAATGAGTAACATCATCCTTATAAATATCCTAGGCTGGCAAACCCTAGATGGTTTGTCATGTAAATGCCAACAATAGTCCACAAACGTTTATTTCAACCATAATAAGTACATCCAAGGTTCATAATCTGTCACCATTACAACAAGATTGTTCTCTTTTTATATGTTGATGATATGGGTATTATTGGGGATGATTTGATGGCATTGTAGTCTTGAAGGGGTAGTTGCAGCAACAATTTGAGATAAAGGATCTTGATCGCCTTCGATATTTTTAAGGTTTCTCTCATTTCTTAATTAAAGTATGTTATTTATAGGGCTCGATTAACACATTCTCCGACTGTTGAGACTCCTCTTGAGCTTAATGTGGTATCCCCTTGGCTCATCCTACTTTGCATCCAATTCTTGCAGGTAATCTGGTCTATCTTTCGATTACACGGCCTAATATTGCATATGTTGTTCAAGTTGTGAATCAGTTTGTCTCTTCTCTGACTACAGTGCGCTAGGCTGCAAGTCTGCACATTTTGGCAATATTTGAGGCACTTTACATCAAAGTTTGTTGTTTTTTTCCACCTCTTCCTTAGATCTTAGTGCTTTCTCTGATGCAGATTGGACACGTGATGCAAAAGATCGAAGTCCACCACAGGTTTCTATGATTTGCTATAAGAGCAAGAACTAAGAAGCAGACCGTTGACGCACATTCCATTGTTGAGGCCAAATATCGTGTTATGGTTAATGTTGCATCAAATATAATTTAGTTGATATGGTTGCTTGCCAATCTAGGCGTTTCATTTTTTGTTCCTACTCCAATTTATTATGACAACAAGAGTGTCATTCAAACTGCACATGACTATGTTTTCCATGAGCAAACCAACCATATTGGGATTAACTCTCATTTTGTACGGCACCATCTTCAACTTGGGACTCTTTCCTTACCTTTTGCTTCTTCAGCTATGCAATGAGCTGACTTATTTATGAAGTCTCACACTGCACAGCATTTGTGTCATTCTTGACAACCTCTCGATACTTCCTACGTCACTTCATGAATTTGAGGGAGGGTGTTAAGATCGTATTTATATGTGTTTGCTATTAGGGGTAGACTAGTCTCTTTCTTAATTGTAGTGTTTACATAAATGGTCTCTTGTTCCCTATTTCATATTATTGCATACAGTGAGCAGCAATGGATTTCTTTTGTCATCCTCTTCTTTAGTTTTGTCTATTTAGCAATTCTAATGAACCAAAATTTGATGTAATATTTCTTCTCATTAAAATGACACTTTTTTTTATGTCATTTTAGCAAAATTTGTCAAAAGTAGAGTTTCAAAGACTAGACATTTCATGTATACAAGCACGATGATATGTGATGAGCCGCATAGTAGTGATATGAACAACCATTAAGAAGGCTCTTGAAAACCTTGTCCAGCACATAATTACCAGAATTCACTAAATCCCTAACGACCTACGATCTGAATACATCGATCCCAAACAAGGTGAGTTCGCAATCCAAATCACGAAAATGTACAATCCCAAATTGTACACGTAGCACAAATATAAAATACATATTAATTAACTACGTGTATATAGATTTATAATTATATATTATTTTAGATAATAAAAATCGAGCACAAATATAAGATGAATGGTAACTGATTTAGTGTTTATGAATATTGTATGATATATAATATTGTATAGTGGTAAAAATGATCCAAATAAGAGTTCCAAAACTAATTGTAACCCAAAATATTGTACTAGTTAAACTTACCATCATCGTACCGCGTACTTAAGAAAGTGTCATACCACGTATCTATACTCATATCATGTACCAAAAGTGACCCACGATCCTGGTAACATTGGTCCAACACACCATACATTGTTGAAATTTGCAGCTACGGCAAAATTTAGTTTATTTAACAGGACATTAACACAAAAAAATAAGGCACCATTCCTCAGCACTGATAAAAATGAACTAGCTCACTTCCTAAATCAAACAATGGCTGCTTTTTCAATTAAAAAAAAAAAGTGCAACTCATCACTCTGGAAGCATACTTCCTTCAGTCAGATCTTGTATCCCAGTTCATTAGTCCTCACTGGTACTAATCAAATGCTACATAAATGAATTACAAGCTTAGATAAATAATCACCTATATTCATCAATACCAGAAAAATAGATAAAACTCATAATTCTGTTACATCAAAAGTGTAATGTATGTTTCTTATGCGGGCTGAGAATCACAACTACACTTCTATTTCGCTAGTTTTGATCCATGAACCAATAAATTCAAGAATGGCAAAATGCCAAAGGGATCATTTAGCTCATGGTT